ACCCACCTCGGAAGGATGGAAGGCTGAGTCAACCTTGAGCCGCTGAGATTTGAACCGCCGAACTCCAATTAGCAGTCAGCTGAAGTGGCCTGCAGTACTGCACTCTAACCACTGCGCCACCTCGGCTCTTCTACAGATTACTCTCATGGCTCAAGACCCATGTATTTTCTCACAATACCCCTGCCCAACCAGTAAGCTCTAAGAGTGTGGGCTCCCTCAAGTAAACCATTGCAGGAAACTCGGGGATAAACCTCTTCCATCACTGCTCCCTCTTTCTCTGGAGTGATATCCCATCTGCAGATCAGACTCTCCTCTACACGTGGGTATTCTATGAAGCCATGTAGCCCTGGCTGTTTCAAGCACCCCGCTAAAGTCTAGCACATATAACAACTTTCTTGCAAAAGAATGCTTGTTGCATATGGGCTTTTACAGAGCTAATTTGGGGTGATTGTTGAATTAATCATTATTGTGGTTGTTGCCCTTTTAATCTGATTACACAGTGAAATATGCAGGCTGCTCAGAGTCACTTGGTGACTGGACCAGCACGTTAAGTAAATAAAATAAAAATAAGCCCTTGCAAGAAAAGACACTGCTCACCTTATGTCAACTGGCCAGTTAACTAGGTGTTCCATTTTGTATTTTGACTCTTTAAAAAAATGAATGTACTGTATATATTTCTATTTACAGAAGGAGTTTTATGACTGCATGTGCACGTTTAAAATTATTCATTGATTCGCATAATTGAATTGTTTAATTACGTAATTGTTTCTCTCTGGGTCCATAGAAATAATTTTTTTGCTTGTTTTCTTCCCATTTTTGTATACAAGTTGCAAGCCATTCAAATCATGTTATTTAAAGTTATGGTGAGCCAAATCCAGATATGATCCTAAAGAATAATGCACAGAAATGACATAAAAAGAGGTTTCGATTTTTCAATTCAACCATTAGAATGGGTCAAAGGCAGAAACACACATCTCAATCCAGCAAGACTGTTAATGAACATGGAACAAGGTTGGGAGAAGCAAACCCTTCCCTGAGGGCCTCCATTCTCCGTGGTGTGGTATTCCCACCTTGCTTCTGAATAAAGATGAGCAGTAGGCAGGTGATTCCCTTAAGAATTTCAGCCATAACCACCGCTGTGGTAGCAAAGAATCGGTCCCCGGGCAAGGTGCGCACATAGCGAATGCTGAGGATGAGGGAGGCATTTTGCACCACCAAGACTGCCAAACTAATGTACTTCAACTGTCGGTTACCTAGAAAAGGAAGAGTAGAAAATCAGCTCAGTATCCTTCTACCAATATCACTCCCCAACAGATTCCCAAGAGATACTGCACTGAGAAAAGGATCCCCATCCAGAAACAGCACTAGAGATTTTGATGGAAGAAATAATTGAGGACCTCTGGGTCCCCTTTAAGTTTCTTTTATCAGAAACCAATAAGAAGGGTGTTAGAACATGGAGAATCAAGGCCTGAATTCACACAAACCAACAGACACACATGCAGACCAATTCCCACCTTCTTCCCTTAGGTAAGATGAAGAATGAAGAATGTCAACGTGAGCAGAAGAGGGCAATCCTGGCTGACACAAGTGACCTGCAGTCTCATTTTTGTAGTCCCTAAACTCCAAAACCATAGGTTTCTACAGGCACCATTTTTCTTATCAAAATTTATTCCTCCTCTGCATTTAACTTCATTGGGGCTTATTTCACCCCTTAACCCAGTATAGTCAACCTGGTCCCTACTGCCCACTAGTGGGCGTTCCAGCTTTCATGGTGGGCGGTAGGGGTTTGCTGTAACTCTGCTTTACAAATTTTATAAAGTAAAGTTACTTCCCTACTNGGAGTCTGGTGGCAGCTCCAATGGCTCCTGCTGGGCCACAACAGTTATCAGTGGTGGGATTCAAGTAATTTAACAACCAGTTCTTTGCCCTAATGATTTCTTCCAACAACCAGTTTGCCAAACTGCTCAGAAAGTGAACAACCGGTTCTCCTGAAATGGTGCGAAGTGGCTGAAGCCCACCACTGGTAATTATCCACAGAAGGGCTGTGATATATACAAGGTGAGTAGAAATGTTAGGGATGTTCTAAAAAATGAGATAAGAAACAATGGGTTCAAATTACAAGGAAGTAGATTTTGATTGGAGATCTTACATTTTAAGAGCTGTGGTGGACTTGGTTTGACTGGTATCATGTAAACAAAGCCTGGACGTCCATTTGTCAGCAATGCTTATACTATTGGATTCCTGTACTGGGTAGGTGATTTGGTTCGATGATCTCTAAAATCACTTCCATCTTTATATTTTGGGATTCTATGAATTACCAAAAGACAATCAAGGTGATACATGGCATATGATGTCAACATCATGTGATCCTGTTGTTTGTAATTAACTAGCCAAAAAGCAGATGGTCATATTTACACATTTGGTGGTTGCCTGAAATTATTCTATGAATATTTTGCTCAAATATATTTTAATAGACACTCTTTTGCCACGATATATATCATTAGAATGGCTGTTTAGTTTTGTTTGTTGTTGTTGAGCAAGGGAAGCTTTCTTTTGTAACATTCCTTTAGCTTCAGAATTCCAGGAATTGAAACCTCAACTACCTCAAATACTTAACTATACAAATGACATTGATGTTTTTGATGGAGGGTGTGTCTGTATAACTTTGTGTACATTCAATTGTTTCTCTAGGGATAAAAAGATTAATGAACCTAACTAGTTGAAAAATAGGGGAGGCATGATAGCAGTGTTCCAATATCTCAAGGGTTGCCACAAAGAAGAGGGAGTCAAACTATTCTCCAAGGCACCTGAGGGTAAAACAAGAAGCAATGGGTGGAAACTAATCAAGGAGAGAAGCANATTTGCAGATGACACCAAACTGGCAGGAATAGCCAACACTCCAAAGACAGGCTTAAGATACAGAAGGATCTTGACAGACTTGAACTTTGGGCGCTATCTAATAAAATGAAATTCAATGGTGAAAAGAGTAAGGTTCTACATTTAGGCAAGGAAAACAAAATGCACAAATACCGTATATGTGATACCTTGATCAATAGTAGTAACTGTGAGAGGGATCTTGGAATCCTAGTGGACAACCATTTAAATATGAGCCAGCCATGCACAGCAGCTGCCAAAAAAGTCAACACTAGGCTGCATAAACAGAGGGATAGAATCAAGAGCACGTGAAATGTTAATACCATTTTATAACGCTTTGGTAAGGCCACACATGGAATACTACATTCAGTTTTGGTCACCACGATGTAAAAAAGATGTGGAGACTCTAAAAAAAAGTGCAGAGAAGAGCAACAAAGATGATTAGGGGACTGGAGGCCAAAACATATGAAGAACGGTTGCAGGAACTGGGTATGTCTAGTTTAATGAAAAGAAGGATCAGGGGAGACATGATAGCAGTGTTCCAATATTTCAGGGGCTGAGATATTGGAAAGAAAGAAGAGGGAGTCAAGCTATTCTCCAAAGAACCTGAGGGTATAACAAGAAACAATGGGTAGAAACTAATCAAGGAGAGAAGCAACTTAGAACTGAGGAGAAATTTCATGACGGTTAGAACAATTAATCAGTAAAACAACTTGCCTCCAACACTGAATGCTCCAACACTGGAAGTTTTTAAGAAGATGTTGGATAGCCATTTGTCTGAAATGGTATAGGATTTCCTACCTAAGCAGGAGGTTGGACTAGAAGACCTCCAAGGTCCCTTCCAACTCTATTATTCTATTCTATTCTATCCAGGGAGACAGGTGAGACTTCCTAATGATGCTCACATAGAAAAACAAGGGAGCTTCTAAATAAAAGATAAGTTGGAGAGATGGAGTTTTAATAGATGGAGAGAAATATTCTTTAATAATTTAGTTTGTGCGTGTCACAGATTCTAGAAGTCAAGAATACAGTGTCTCTTTTGCATGGTCTATAGATGTTGCTAATGTCTAGGTGTCTATGGATGGCTGAATTGTCAGAGTGCCAGGCTTCTAGAAAATTCCCTGGCGTTTTTGGACTTGTCCTAGTCTAGGACTGTCACATTTTCCCAATTGAAACGATGGTTAAATCTGTCTATGTGTTGCAAAATTAAACAATTTTCCTCATGTCTTCTGACTGCCACTTGGTGTTCATGAATGCGTTTTGCCAGTCTTCTGTCTGTTTCTCCTACATATAAAAGATTTACCCAAGGAATGGTCTAGTGTAGAAAATAAAGTCTAGCTAATTATACATGGATGGGACACAGTGACTCAGTGGCTAAGATGCTGAGCTTGTCGATCAGAAAGGTCGGCAATTCAGCGGTTCGAATCCCTAGCGCCGCATAATGCAGTGAGCTCCCATTACTTGTCCCAGCTTCTGCCAACCTAGCAGTTCGAAAGCATGTAAAAATGCAAGTAGAAAAATAGGGACCATCTTTTGGTGGGAAGGTAACAATGTTCTGTGCATCTTCGGTATTTAGTCATGCCAGCCACATGACCACAGAGACGTCTTTGGACAGCGCTGGGTCTTCGACTTTGAAACGGAGATGAGCACTGCCCCCTAGAGTCAGGAACGACTAGAACATACATGTGAGGGGAACTTTTACTTTAATTATACATCCACAATTCCTTAGGACAGTGGTCCCCAGCCTAGCACAGAGGAGGGGGCATGTGAGTGGCAAATGCCTGCACACATGCACACCTCTATTTGCACATGAAGCTCACATTGAAGTTCCACTCACATGAGTGGAGAGCATTTCAGCAGAGGGCACTTGTTGTAACCTGTGGGCCGCTGGCCTCCAGCAGCTGAATCAGAGGAGGGAGGGGAGGCGTGGGAGTCAGGGTCAGCATCAAGGCAATCTGGGAGCTCCGAGGGGGGAGATGGAATGGAGTTGGCGCAGAGAGAGAGACAGAGGCAGATCCTGGGCCTTCAATCAGCCCTCAGATGGAGAGTCAATAGCCCCCAGATCTTGAGGTGGCTGAAGAAGAGGAGCAGGAACAGCTGGATCCAGTGCCTGACATGCAGATGTGCAGAAGGCAGAGGAGAGGAGAGGAGAGCAGTGGAAATCTATGGGCCGATCCTGGGGAAGGAAGAGCCACCGCTGCTAATAAGGCCTCACCGTAGCTCTGGGTATAAAAGGCAGGGGGCGGAGATGAATAGATTCTATCATCTAGCAACTGATATTCAAAGGTATATTATTTTGAATATTAGAGGGAGTGGCACAGTGGCCTAGAGGTGGAGCTCTCACCTCACCATCAGGAGGCTGTGAGTTTGATCCTAGGTAGAGGCAGATATTTCTCTCTCTGGGCACACTGAGAATATATCTGCTGAACAAAACTCCGCGCTGGCAACAAGAAAGGCATCTGGCCATTAAGTCACTCTGCTAGCTCCATTCAGTTGCCCAGACTCCACCCCGCAAGGGATTATGGAGTTGTTAAATGAAGATGATGATTACTTTGAATATTAGAGGAAATATTATTGCCATCCTAGCTAGTAATCATTTATACTCCACCTACTCCTTCTTCAATGCAATATCCCGCATATAATTTGTACAAATATGGACATATAAAGTGGGAAAGTGCGCAAACAATAGTATATTCATTAAAAATAATAAGAATGACATTATAACTGAAAATATTGCTTGCAAAAAATATGCAGGAAAAGAGTGCTCAGTGTCTTTTTAAAAAGTATTTTTTGGAGGAAAGATTTCGGTTGATGTATCCAAGGGTTCAATACCATATACATACATGCTATTCCTAAGAGAAGTTAATGGAGAAAGAACAGAGAAAAGGAAAGAAGGAAGAGAGGGAGGATGAAAGATAACTGCCGATGACTTGCCTTCAGAAATTGTGAGTACTCCAACACTGGAAGGTTTTAAGAAGAGATTGAACAACCATTTGCCTGAAACGGTATAGGACAGGGGTATCTACCTCCAAGGCCTGTGGGCCAGATCTGGCCCATGGGGTGCTTAGATCTGGCCTGTGGGCCCACTCTGAAACAGAGAAGGACCAGCCTGTGGTGCCTCTGCCAGTGAAAACAGGCCACACAGAGCCTCCTCAAGTTCCATTTTTGCTGGCAAAGGGCTGCAGGAGGCCGTCATGGNACCCAGTTCCTGCAATCGTTCTTCATATGTTTTAAGCCTCCAGTCCCCTAATATACTACCCACCATGCTATCAAGCAACTATTTTGTAATATTCTTCATATTTGTTTTCGTTATATAAAGTTACCTTCCCCACATAATTCAGTCTCCCTGTGATAAATTGCATTGCTGTACAACTGCTCGCTTTCCTATTTGAAAACCTATTTCAACCTATTTCCTTCTCGACGAAAGAAAAAGCCATTCATGTCTTCCCACTATATTGAAATTGCCAATTCGATATGTGCCAGCTGCATCAGAGCAGACCGTGCATCCCACACACGGCTGGAATCAACACAGAGGCCTTCCCAGAGTGTAGAGATGAGATGCATATCCGAAAAGGGATAAAATAAAGTGGAGAGGGAGACTTTGAGACAGATAAATATCCCTGCATATCAACCACCAGGCCAATTACACCGACACAGTTGTGTGCCATACTACCCACCTAGAACAATCAAAACTCAAAGACCCATTTGCTTCAAACATCTGCCTCCAAAGCAGAGATGCACCTGCTACAGTATAAGCAGGACCGGTGATGAAATGGATTATTTTTCAAGTTAGGCAGTTATGCCCTTTCCTAGGGAATTTCACTGCATTTCCTTCCCTCCTACCAGTTCATGACTCACTTTCCCCATAATCTGTTCATATATACCGTGATTCCTAATCGCCCACAATTGTCTGAGGATTGCTTTGGAGTCTCCAACGGGCGTTGCTTTACATGTCTATTTTACAAACTACGTTACCGTTTTATTTTTTACAAACTGTCATAAAAAATATCCCGATGAAAAACAAAGGGAAACCACAAACAATCACAAACAATAACTCTTACTTTCAGATCAGAGGTTGATTGTTTCATGAGGAATTTGGAACATGACTAGCCAACATTACTGCATTTTTTGGAATATAAGACGCACTGGAGTATAAGACACACCAAGATTTTAAAGAGTTTTTAAAAAAAAGTTTTTGCACTCTGCAGACCTCCCCAAAACAGCCCATTTTTCGTGAGAACGGGCCCATTTTTTTTTTAAAGGGCATGCATAGCCTTTAGGAGGCTTGTAGAGTGCTCCAGGGGTGGCAAAAACGAGCAAAAAATGGCCAATTTTTCATGAAAACAGGCCCATTTTTGACAAAATGGGTATGCATTGCCTTTAGGAGACTTATAGAGTCTCCTGGGGGCTGGGGGAGGCAAAATTGAGCAGAAAATGGCGCATTTTTCGCTCATTTCTGCCCTCCCCAGCCCCCAGGAGCACTCTATAAACATGCTAACCTCCTAAAGCAGTGGGTCTCAACCTTCCTAATGCCGCTACCCTTTAATACAGTTCCTCATGTTGTGGTGACCCCCAACCATAAGATTATTTTATGTTTTCCATATTTTTTCAAAAATATGTGTTTTCCAATGGTCTTAGGCGACTCCTGTGAAAGAGTTGTTCGACCCCCAAAGGGGTCCCGACCCACATGTTGAGAACCACTGTCCTAAAGGTTATGGATGGCCATTTTGGTGAAAGGGGCGGGGTTTGGGGAGGCAAAAAATGCTGCATTCAGTGTATAAGACGCACCCAGATTTTTAGCCTCTTTTTTGAGGGAAAAAAATGCGTCTTATACTCCGAAAAATATGGTATATTAACAATGTATTGCAATAAGGTCTATTGACATAGCTGAATCCAGCAAGGATTAGCTACGGCCAGTGGCCCTGAACTCTTCCCAAGACATTCTTTTTATACTTTTCTGTATACATTTCACAACTTACTACCCTGTTCTGTCTTACCAACAGATAGTCTCCACATACACCCGTGTACATTTGAAGTTCTCAGACCCTTTTTACTTTTAGGTCCTCATTTCCCACCATCTCATTCTTCCTGCTCTAAATATATCCATACAAGTACAAACTTTGCAGAAAAAAGCAGCACAAAATCCATTTAGCACATTTGAAATACATCTGGTACATTTTGCAATTATGTTAGCTTAAAACTTTGGTTCAGTGAGGCCTGCACGTTCACTCCTCGGCCTTATTACCTGCAACTTTCCAATGGATATTTCCCCCCCCCCTCACAAAAACCTTCACATCCTCACACACACAACGGATGCCATTTCGGATGCGTTACCAATGGTACTCATGTTATGAACGCTTGAAACTGAAAGGATGAGATCGGCTGTTAAGCACAGCACCGATTCAAACAATGAGATGTGCCTGTGCATTAATCTCACCTTTGGGGAGATGATCGACACAGGGAAAAGGGGGGGGGGAAAGCACCGGAATGACAGCAACTCAAGACTCAGCTTGAAGGAGAAGAGAGGCTGCCGGTGTCATTTTAAAACATTCATGAGGTTAGACAAAATTTCTTCTTTTCCCACTTTTGAAGGAAAGAAATTGTGATTCAAGGCCTACGTTGTTATGCTAAGATGAAGTATTTAGATGCCTGGAGCAAAGTACTTCTCTTGATCAATCAGCAATGCTAAGATCCACTGGTAAGACTGTTTGACATCCTTGGATAGGTTGTTGAGGCTGGGGCTCTCCAAGGACATCTCAACCTGTTTTTCTGAGACCCAGTAGACACTTCCTTCAGGAGCCTTTATCCCGTTTCACTTTGAGAGAAGCTTCTGCACTACCAAAAGCCACACCAAGAAGCTGCAGATGCTCCTTCTGCATCTAATGATCTTTGTGTCAGGCCTGCAACCAGGTTCCTTTTCAGATCTTTGGCCTGCCACACTTCTATCTACTACGCTGTTTCTGTAGTGGGGAAATGGGAGGGGGGATTGTATGGAGTGAGATGCTATGTAGCCATAACAAAATACTTTCTAGAAAGCCAAGATCATCCTTTGTCTTTGCAACTCTGCACCTGACTGGAACTGGATGGGTGGGACTGCCAGCATGACAGTGGAAGATTGGGCCATGTGATGGAATTATGGGTGTGGGAGACAAGATCTTGAACTTTCAACTGGGTGAGGAAAACCGGGAAGCTTTCAGATTCGGGTTTCCCCAAATGTTCCAACATGTCTCTCTTATTAAATTGGAACTTTGAGCAATGCTTTTGCCTTGGACTCTGATTTAATTTTGGATGTTATCTGGGACTGTCATGCCTTTGTGCCCATTGCTATAGATCAGTGATGGCAAACCTTTTCAGCACTGAGTACCAAAAAGATTGTGCGAAAACGTCATGTGCATGCTCGCTCGTCGGGGCCGACTTCCCGGGTTCTAGCGCACATGCACATCCAATTATTAGCTGGCTGGCATGCATGCACAGACCAGTTTTCAGAACTGCTCCATGCACAGAGGGATCGCACTCCGGAAAAGCCAAACTTCTGGGTTCTGTCGTTCATGCGTACACAATATTCAGTTGGCCGGCACGCATGTAAACACCGGTTTTCAGCACTGCCGTGCACACAAAGGACAGCTGATTGTTGCATGTGCATGCATGCCAGAAGCCCGGAAGGCAAACAGGCAAGGCCACACGTGCTGGGCATCATGGTTTCGCATGCCACTTTGGGTATGCGTGCTATAGGTTCAGCTTCATAGCTATAGAGACTAACTACTACTAACGTGGATTTTCCAAAAATGCACTAGATTGGGAAGCCACAAAGCAGATGTGACTCTCTTCAGTTACTTTACTGATTTGTAATACTTATATCCAGTTCCTATCCCAGCTGTCAGTTCCCCCTGATGAGAGCAGGAGAGGGGGGCTTACTTACTTAGTTGGACGATAATCTGGTATGGTGCGGTCCAACGATATTTTCTCACTGAGATAGGAATTGTATCCATATTTTTCGTGGGGTCCCTTGGCTTTTTCTTCCTCCTCTGGAGAAAGAGTGGCAGGCAAGCCACCTTTGCCACGACCACCGTAGCCTTCAATAAGCCCCAAGGATTTTGACAGACCTAGAAGAAGAAAAAAACAAGGAAGAGACACACAAGAGTCAGTCTTGATAGATTTAAAACCAGAACTATTCCTATTAGGAATAATAAAAGAAAAAATATAGTAAAGGAGTGACATATTTAATGCTGCATGTGATAACCACAGCAAGATTGGTGTATGCGCAAAACTGGAAAAATTTTGAGATGCCCCCCACCGAAGAAGTCATAAAGAAAAATTTGATCTGTGCAGAAATGGACTGACTGACACTAGAAATCAAAAATGGAGCTACTCCCAAGCGTCAGGAACAATTACGCAATTACAGGAGGTAATTACACTCAGCTGGTGGTCATTAGGCTCCTCTCCAGACTATAAAAAGGCTACTTGTGCACACACCCCTCTTTGCAGAAGTCAACGCAGGATTGAATGTCGGAGAACTTTGTATGAGCTTGGCAGGCTGGATTGCTGCCAAGCCTTATCTGTGTTTATTGCTGNCCAGGCGGGCCATGTGCAGCCTCCCCGAGCACGGTTTTCATTGGCAGAGGGCTGCAGGAGGCTGTCATGGTTGAAAATGGAGCCTCGATGAGTGACATCGAGCTGGCCATGCCCCCCCCCCCATCCCCCAGGTCAAACACAACCCTAATGCGACCCTCAATGAAATTGAGTTTGTCACCCCTGGTATAGGTTTCCTGCCTGAACAGGAGGTTGAACTAAAGACCTCCAAGGTCCCTTCCAACTCTGTTTTTCTGTTACAAACAAAACAAGGAACAGTTAAGTTTAATAATTAAAAAAAAATCTTCTGGAAGTGAGTAAAAAAGGGGGGGAAAGTTCCAGCAGTGTGGATGAAATTAAAAATGGGAATGATAATGATATTTTGATGATTAGAATGGAAATGAATGCCATAAATAGTAATGTTCTTTAAAAAAATATGAAATGGAAGTCACAGATGCGGTGAGAACATTGGGAAATGGGATAGGACCACCATGTAGATGTTGAAACTGGGGAAATATTAAAATATAAATGAGGCTTCATAGGGAGACTGTATGGCTTGCTTATAATATCAGCATGAAAATGGCATCTTTGTTTGACAATTGAAAGAACACTACTATTTTCTCCCTATGAAAGGGAGAAGATTATAAGAAGGTGAGTATGAAAACCAAAGAATTGTTAAGTTGTTTAGTGCACCTGGGAAGACTGATACAACTGTGATTGGAACAGTATGAAAGTGACAATGAACAAAATTTGGGAAATAAAGCTTTATGCTAGGTGGGGTGTGGGTGGATCCTGCTTTTTTCCTCTCCAGTTGGTCACTGGGGAAATGTATAAAAATGAGAAACAATTTGTTCATCTTTGATTTAAAGGAAGCATATAATAAAGTGAATAGGTATGAATCATGGGGTGGTTTACATGACGACTGAGGTATCTGATGAAAATAATATGCTGTAAGAAATCCTGAAGAAAAACAAGGAGATTCTCAGTCAATGGTTACAGTTCAGGCAGGGAATAACAGAATAACAGGGTTGGAAGGCAATTAGCAATTTAATAAATTTATATGCCGCCCAATCCCGTAGGACTCTGGGCAGCTTACAGGAGCAAAAATAAAAGTAAAAGTTAAAATAAAGAAGAGCTACAATTTAAAAAACAACGCACCAGACATTCCGTTTAAGTGGGGGCTGGACCTTGATCACAAGCCCCAAGCCTGCCGGAACAGCCAGGTTTTCGTGGCTTTTCGGAAGGCCGAGAGAGTGGGAAGGGTCCGGATATCTACGGGTAGATCGTTCTACAGGGCCAGAGCAGCTACAGAGAAGGCCCTCCCCTGAGGGGCCGCCAGCCGGCATTGTTTTTTAAATTGTAGCTCTTCTTTATTTTAACTTTTACTTTTATTTTTGCTCCTGTAAGCTGCCCAGAGTCCTACGGGATTGGGCGGCATATAAATTTATTAAATTGCTAATTGCCTTCCAACCCTGTTATTCTGTT